CTTCGGTTATCAAGCCGAATTTTGCTTGGAATTTTGGTTGTTTCACCTTGTTCCAGTTTGTTTACGATGATTGATCGATTGCTTCGTCGATTTCAATCAATTTCTGCGGATATCTTGTCAATTCCGTGGTTCTCTTTCGGTTGTTCCACCGATCATTCTACAGCTTCTTCGATGGTGATTGCTCACAAGGTTCGGCGTTTCACTGGTAAAGCAAGTCTGTATGCTTGGAACTCTTTAATTCCTGAAGATGTTTCTTCAGATTCTGTCCATCTACTGCGTTTAACTTGTATCAATGCGATTGATCTTGTGGCTGATATTGTGGAGTCGTATTCATCGTTTCCTGGTTTGGTTGGACTCATTGTTCCACCGGGAGTGATTCTTCCCTACGGTTCTCTATCAAGACGACCAGATGATCCATCTCCTCTGGTATGTACGTATTCTTTGATCTTGCTCTTTACGAAAGTAGCTTCGAGTGCACCGTATATTGTTCATGGTGTTGCTGCTTGGAGATATTTGGCAAGTAGCTACGTTTTTAGTGAAACGGACAGAAAATTTTTTTAAAAAGTCAAATTATATGAGTTAAAGGACAAAGACAATATAGAAATACTGAAAAATGAGAGTGATATTTTTGCAAAACTTTTTAAAATGTGGTATTTTTGCAAAGTGGCATGGAGCATGTGACATTTTTTAAAATTTCTCAAAAAATTAAAGGAAAATTGTTGGTACCAAAATTGGAGGAAAATAATAAGAAAGAAAACTCTTAATTAGTATTAAACAGTGATTTAGCCGACTTAAATCCATAGTCGGTCAAAAATTTTACCATTATTTTTTATTTTTCTGATAAAGATGTAACCATTATTTTTGGAAAACCATGTCTTGACCGTATTATAGATTTTGCGATCGTAAAAAATCATGCGTAAAATTATCAAAAACTACGTAGTTTTACATAGTTTTTGCTTTTTAAATAACATAATGCCAAAACAGAGATTGTGCACATTACCCAATTGTTCCAAAATAGTTTATGTAGC